TACCCAACTGCAAAGCCGTGCCTGTCCAACACCAAAACCAGCCAAGACATGGAGCTATCTATTCCCAGGACCAATGAGGGTCATCCCAAGGGCATTTTGGAATGAGAGATTGTACTGGAGACTGAAAGTGAGAACCAGCAACCAACAGGCCCAAAGGAAGATGTAAGAGAGGCAAACAGTTGACATCACACAGATCCACCAACAAACCCAGAGAGAAAGAAGCAGCCCCTTTGGTCTTTTTTTTTTTTTTTTTTGGTCTCATCTCTCTTTCTTGCCTTATTCTCTCCTGGAGCAGCAAACAAGTGCAACATGCAAGTGAGGAGCCAAGGTCAGTTTCGGAAAGCAGCGGAGGAAGACTGTGAGGATCCCAGGTGTGCGGGGAGGTGACCAGAGCAGGCTGCAGACTGAGTGATGCCCTAGGAGACAGTGCCCTGGGGAGAGGAAAGACCTAGGGCAGGGAGAGTGAGCTAGAGGCTTCAGACTGTGAGGGCACTGCCATGCCTGGGAAAAGACTAAGCACAGCTACCCAAGATGAGAACGTGAGCTCTCCCCACCCAGGTCACTCTCCCAGGATCATCTTCCATCACCCCATACCAGCAACTTGCTAAGAGCTGTCTTCAACACCCTTCCCCCCCAGGGCAGTGAAGTGTCATGACCATTCCCTTCTTCCCCCCATGACCAAGCAACAGTTCAAATAGGCTGCCTCACATGGGAGAGAAATAGCCAGGGCCTCCTTGGGCTGGGGCAGAGCTGAGGTCAAGGCCTCTCCATGCGTCATGGGATATGAGCTCATCCCTATTACACCTGGGCGGGGGCTGGACAGTTACCAGTACTCATCATGTGGACTCCAGAGCCTGTGAGATCATTCACACAGGCACTGAGAGAATCTGCCCCATATACATGCATGTCTGTCCCACACAGAGGGGCAATCTGAGGGCATAGTATGGGGCCTCCAAGCTCTAGAAGGTGGGGGCTTCTCCAACCCATCCCCTACACATGCACACACTCCCTCAACTCCATCCTCTGCCCTCCTCCCCACACCCTAGCTTTGCCCAGTGGTCAAAGGCTCAGGCACGTCTTCTCAAAGCTCTCATTATGCTGTGAATCAGAGGGCGGGAGGCAGATCTGGCAGATACGAACCCCTGGAAACTCATAAGACTGGTGTGACTTCCTTGAACTGGGTCTGCTATCCTGGGACTGATTATCATGGCTGGGGAGGGACAGATTCTCCCCAGGTGAAGTCAGCAGCCGGGTATAGGGCACGATGCCCATGTGGGGATGCTGCTTAGCTCTCCGTGGCTTGGTGGGGGGAGGGAGGAGAACTCCCAGACCCAAAAAAGGGCACAGTCACTGCTCTATGAGGAGGACAGTGTGAGGTCCTGGGTGGGCTCAGGGAACAGAGAGGGTGTGAGGAGAAGGCAGCATTCCAGAGGCCAGACTCTTGTGAGTCCTCCAACTGTCTTTCCAGACTGAGCCCCAGAAACATGGCGAAGTTAGCACTATAAATAGATCTCCTTGGGGGCTAAAAGGAAGGTAGGTGCCTCTCAGGAAAATGCAGGGAGTCAGGACACTTCTCAAAATCAGCCCCAGAAATGAGTATTTTCTTCATATGTTGTAATATTTCTTTTTTGGTTAGATTGTAAAGAAAAGAGTTTAAATGGTGTCCATAAAATAATCTATTAATCAACCATTAATAAATGGAAAGTCACAATTCAGTTTTGTTTTTATACACACACACACTTTTACATGCACACATAAACATTCATTAACCCTTAAATATTTGGTAGTTTTTATCTCCAAGTGGTAACATTCACTGTTCATTCACCCCTTCAACTAATATTTATAGAGGGTTCATTACATGTGGTGGTTTTGATAGATCCTGGGGACATAGTGGAAAACATACCAGGCACACCCTTATCCTCATAGAGCTTATTTTTCCAGTGGGAGAGATAGGTAATACACAAGTGAACAAATACAAATAAAATAACTCTAGCTTATGATAAGTGGAATGAAGCTAACCAGAATATATTCCCTTAGACAGGGTAGCCAGAGAAGTTTCTCTGGCAGACCCCAACCTAACATTTATGCTGAAGCTGAAAGGCACAGAACAGCCAGGGACCTGGGAAGGAGCCTGTTGGCAGAGAGAGAGCAGGTGCCTATCTCCAAGGTGGGAGCTTTGACCTTGTCTTGGAACTGAGGAACCTCAGTGAGGTAGGAGTACATTTGTCAGAGAGAGATTGGCAAGAGCCGAACCCTAGAGAAAGGCCAGTTAACCCAGGGCCTTTTAAACCATTGCAGTGAGTGTGGATTTTATTCCGAGTGCACAGGGTCACCATCAGCACTGGACAGGGACACACTGAAATCCTCACTCTGAAAGATTGCTTAAGCTATTATTAGAGAATAGTTTAGAGAAGGCAATGGATGATTTGGTTCTGATCTTTATACTTTCATGCATTTTCAAAATAATTTTAGAAAGTGGTTTTTTTTAATCATCATAAAAAGGAATGCTTCCTTTATGTGTTGCGTATACTCTATGCTGTTTCTTTGACTAGAGTGGCTCATGCTTTGGAGTTTTTGTCAGCGTGGCATTGTTGGGAACCTCTGTTACTACTGCCTTAGCCATGGGCAGCCCCTGGCACACAGGAGACCCCTAGAAGCCTTCAACTTGACTCTACTTGACTTCAAGTCCGATCTCCCTCAAGACAGAGTTCATTTTCACACAGAATGGAATTAAAGATATGCTCTGAGAGGATGGGCTCATGGCTGAAGAGAATGCCCCAGCAGTCCCATCCCTTCATGAGAAGAGACTCTTCCCATCTTCCTGCCACATACCTGAACATCTTGGAAAGACACATAACTTTTTATTTCACACCCTTGGAAATGAATCCCTTAGCTTAGTATTGAGGATAGACCTATTTTACAGCTGGAGAGACTGAGATTCAGAGAAGTTTGGCTGAGGCCACAAAACAGAAGAAAGCTTCTCTCACTTCCATCTCTTCTATCCCCTCCCTTGTACCAGGTCACATGAGCATCACAGGAGTAGTCGGGCCCTCTAGAAGCCTCTGGCCAGGCAGGAGCTGTGTATCCCTGGAAAAGGGGGCCCTGAGGGGTTTGCTGCTTAAGATGCCTGTGGTGAGTCAGGAAGGGGCTGGAGGAAGTTGACCAACTTGAGTGGTGAAACCAGTCTATCGCCTTCAATCTGGGAAGGAAGCCAGGCAGGGGAACGGTATAAAGGGTGCTCTGGCTTCTGCTCAGCTCAGCACTCCACTGGAAGCCTCCGCCTCGGTCCCTACTGTTAGTCTGGTAAGTGTCAGCTGGCAGATCTAGGGTTGGGACTGGCAGCCTCCAACAGGACAGGGCATGGCCCAGGTGGCCAGCCTGCGTAGGTGTGGGTGTTACTGTGGGGCTGGACTCAGCTGGACCTGTCCTTCTGGGGGCTCATGTCACTGCACTGAGGGAAATGTGCCCCGGCATAAAGACACAGAACAGAGAGTAGTTCTCTCATGGCCCATCTGTTCTTGGGACTGTATTTTAAGAGAGAACCAAGGGCGGGAAGCAGGGGGAGTAGCAGTCAATTTCTTTCCTGAAACTCTGATTTGGGGTGTTCATGATTTTGCCTTGTTTATGGGGCAGAGTTTCAAGGAAATGCTGTAACTCTTGGCTTGGTGAAAAAGTGGGGATTGCAGAATGAAGAAAGTGTTCTATTCGGGGAAACCCAGGCAGAGCAGGGGTAAGAAAACCCAACTTAGAACTGCAGGACTTGAAAGGACAAGCTCCAATTCTCAGCAATCTTCCAGCTCCACCTGTCCCCCACCCCAGGAACTGGGACTGCAGATAATGCTTAGTCAGTAGAGAAAGAAAGAAGGTCAGGAGAGAAAGGATCTCTGGAGTTGAATAGGCCAACCTGCTAATTTTACAGAGAAGAAATCTGAGGCGCAGAGAAGCTAATTGACTTTCCCAGAAACACATCATATTTCAGGGGCAGATTTAGCCCCAGAATGTATCATGTGACTCCAGTCCAGGGTTTGTGCCATGATGTTGCAGATCCTCTCCGGCACGGTCTATTGGCTTTTCAGGACTCAGGAGGCCTGTAGGAAATCTTTCTTCTCCTAGGGCCTTACCTCTTGCTGTGACATAATCTCAGAAATCATCTCTCCTCCTTGGTTAGTGGAAGTCAGAGAAAAGGTCAGAGACAAGGGCTAGAGAGAAGCAAAAGGTTGAATGGCACCCAGTCCATCCTTGCAAAACAGTTCTGGAGACAGATCTCTTTGTGGCTTTGCCTGGGAATGAAAAAGCACCCGGAAGGGTCTTTCCCTGCCCTCCCCATTCCCACTCTTTACTCTCTGTTGCTTCTGAGGAATGTCAGCCCAGGGAGGGTGGGAGAATGTCCCACCCAAGGGAAGAGGGTGGGAGAGTACCTCACCCAAGAGGATGCTGAAAAACCAGGTAGTGCTGCAGATTTCCGAGGATTTGTCTACTTCCTTTGCCTTCACCCTGCCACTCTGACCCCTCCTGTTTTTCAGGTTGACCTAAAACAGCTTCCAAGATGTCCGAGCAATACACACTGCCAGTGACCCTTCCTCCTGCCCTCAGTCAGGAGGTTTTCAAGACTGTTTCTCTTCCAGCCAGTACCCAGGTGGAGCAAATGAAGCAGCCAACCCCACTGCCTGCCCTGTGCCAGAAGGTACCCTCCGAGCTCCCAGTGGAGGTCCCCTCAAAGCAAGGAGAGCAGCACACAACTGTGAAGGGGGTACCTGAGCAAGAGTGTGAGAAGCAGCAGCAGCAACAGGAGCCACAGGAGCAGGAACTGCATCTGGAACAGCAGCAGCAGCAGCAGGAGTCACAGGAGCAGGAATTGCATCTGGAACGGAAGCAGCAGCAGGAGTCACAGGAGCAGGAACTGCATCTGGAACAGCAGCAGCAGCAGGACTCACAGGAGCAGGAACTGCATCTGGAACGGAAGCAGCAGCAGGAGTCACAGGAGCAGGAACTGCATCTGGAACAGCAGCAGCAGCAGGACTCACAGGAGCAGGAACTGCATCTGGAAAGGAAGCAGCAGCAGGAGTCACAGGAGCAGGAACTGCATCTGGAACAGCAGCAGCAGCAGGACTCACAGGAGCAGGAACTGCATCTGGAATGGAAGCAGCAGCAGGAGTCACAGGAGCAGGAACTGCATCTGGAACAGCAGCAGCAGGACTCACAGGAGCAGGAACTGCATCTGGAATGGAAGCAGCAGCAGGAGTCACAGGAGCAGGAACTGCATCTGGAACAGCAGCAGCAGGACTCACAGGAGCAGGAACTGCATCTGGAATGGAAGCAGCAGCAGGAGTCACAGGAGCAGGAACTGCATCTGGAACAGCAGCAGCAGGACTCACAGGAGCAGGAACTGCATCTGGAACGGAAGCAGCAGCAGGAGCCACAGGAGCAGGAACTGCATCTGGAACAGCAGCAGCAGCAGGAGTCACAGGAGCAGGAACTGCATCTGGAACAGCAGCAGCAGGAGTCACAGGAACAGGAACTGCATCTGGAACGGAAGCAGCAGCAGGAGTCACAAGAGCAAGAACTGCAGCAGCAGCAACAGGGACAACATGGGGAACATCAGGAAGCAGAAAACCTGGAGCAACAACTTGAGCAGAAGAAAGCACAAAGGGATCAGCAGCTGAAGGAGCAGTTGGAAAAAGAGAAGAAGCCCTTGGACCAGCATCTAGATCAAGAGCTCACAAAGAGAGATGAGCAACTGGGAAAGAAAGAAGAGCAGCTTCTAGTGCCATCCGAGCAACAGGAGGGGCAGCTGGAGCAGCCTGTATTTGTCCCAACTCCTGGCCAGAACGAAGAGATCCAGCCAGTTCAGCGCCCTCTTGAAATCTTGCTCCCCGCTGAGCAGCAGAACCTGAAGCAGGAGGTACAGTAGCCAATCGAACATAAGTAACCACTCCCATGTCCTAGAGGCCCTCAGACCATCCCACACAGGGAAGAGAGAGCCACCAGCCCACTTACCTCAGGGGGTGGCCCACCTCTGTGAACCTACCTGTCCCTGCCCCTCTGCATGTCTCTTCATCGGGGTTGGAGGTGGAGGGGAGGAAGTTAATGCCCAGCACCCACCCCCAGTGAGCCCAATCCCAACCTCAGATGATCGGAGCCTCTGCCTGAGGGACGGTTGTTTCTATAGTAACTCTGACAGCACCCTCAGTGATATGGCTAAATCTGTGAGTGTGTACAATAATACATAATAAATCCTGGAAGTCCGGGGATCCTGTATTCTCTCTGTCTTTTCCTCCTCCATCTCTCACCACATAAAAATGTATGTGTGGGTTAATGGTTCCAGTTGACTCTGTTAGCCAGTTCTCAAAGGAGAACAGACATCTGAACCCTTCTTTAATTCTGCACTGCAAATCACTCAATATATTCAGCAGCTTCTGAAAAAGAAACAAACTCCAAACTAAACCAAAATGAAAACAACTTTACTTATGCACCTAAGAGTAACACTTGCTTGTCATGAAGAGGGGATAAGTTATTCCAGTTGGGGAGAAGAGGATCTACCCTTCTCAGCCCAACACCGCCTCTCACCGCCCACACAGACATCGATCCTAGCCCATGGCCAAGCTCAGCCCTGCACTTGACTCAGCTCCTCACGTGCAGGAGGGGCCTGGGAAGGCAACAAGGTTTAGAGGCTCCATCTGGGTTATTTAAAAAAAAAAAAGTAATAAAACTGTCTTTATTCTTAGACAATATGATCATGTGTGTATAAAATAAAATAAATCTTCAAAAAGTAATTCAGCCTATTAAGTGACTTTAATGAGTTCACAGAGAACAACGTCAGTGTTCATACATCAATTGTATTTTTATACATTATCAAGAACAATCAAGAGATCAAATAAAAATACCATATACATTGCTTTTAAGAACATGAAGTGACTAGGGATGAAAATAGAAAATACTTGCAAGATTTATATGCTGATAACTTAAAAATATTAATGAGAGAAATGAAAGAAGAAATGAAATTCCACTAAAACTTTCCGTCAATGAAATCTCACTCAAAATTTCAATAGACATTTTTATAGAAATTGACAAGTTTATTTAAAAATGTGTATTAAAAGTGAAGAACTAGAATAGATCTTTACCTTTCAATATATCCCATTTCATTAATGAGAAACATAATTAGGGAGAGAGAAAAAGGCAGGGAGGTAGAGAAAGACAGAAACAAAGGGAGAACCATCATGTGTTCATGAAAGATTCCTTTCATAAGGTTCAGTAGGTACCACAAATAATTGGTGAATAAATGAGTAAATTCAGGACTAGAAAACCTCTTAGTGACATAATTGGAGATTATTACATTGAAACTGTGATTTTAATATAGAAAAGACATTTGAATGACTTGCAGCAAAATCAATCCCAATCCCCTCCTTGCCCTTGACACTTTTATAGGTTTAGGAGATATCCTATATCAGGGTGAAAAAAATTGACAATTCAGATTACATCAGTGAAAATATACTACTGTGGTTATTGACTTTATTCACAGTTCTTGGCTAAAAAGTGAGCAAGTACAGATAGAGTCAAGGATAGGTTGTCTTTTCGGATGTGGACTAAGAACAATTCACACATCTGTGTGTTTACAGTGCCAAGCTAAATACTGCAGCTCATGCTCACTTCCCTGGAAACAACCCCAGGATTTCCTCCCTGGGTTTTCTCTCTATAAAATGTTCTCATGATATCTAAGAATCTTACAGACTGCCTGCTTGGCTGAGGAAGACTTTACAAAAGCAATGGAATCAGAACTAGGCAAGGTGGGGTGAGGAGGCACTCCCTGGGACTGATCTCTGAAGGGAAAGTGACAGTGTCATTAAAGGAAGTGAAGGTTGAGCCAGCAGGAAAAGTGGAAGCCAAAAATGCTGACTCAGCTGGAGAAATGCTGACTCAGCTGGAGAAATGCTGACTCAGCTGGAGAAATACAGATCCACAGTCACCGCAGCAGCTCTCCTCGCCCTGCACCCTGGCTCCCTGATGTTTACGTAGCCTTTGCTGCCATCCATCACATCAGGACTTGGGGCTGTCTCCTTCCTGGGACAAGTCCTGCCCTTAACTCTTAAAAGTGCTTGCCTTCAACTATTTAACCTCTCAAGCTATCCAAAGCTACTTTACCACAGGCATGAGGATATATCGGGAGCATTCCTGCTGAGGCACTCAAACTCAATAGATCTGAAGGGCACTTAGCGTTTCTTACTCCCCACCCAGCCCCAGCAGCACTCACCACATTTCCTCCTTAGGTATTCTCTCTCCTGAGTAATGATACTGCATTTGCAATCATCATTCCTCATTCTTCCCCTTCTTCCATACCCTCACCAATGGCCAGGTTATTGCTATCCCTACCAATACCTCCTAAGCTCAGACTGAGGTCGTTCTCACCTGAACTGATGCAACAGCCTTCAAGCTGGTCTGTCTTGCTTCCTGTCTCCACACACCCTACAATCCACCCATCCCACAGAGGACAGAGTATTCTACTTAAAATTCCAGTCTGACTACATCACTCCTGGGGTTAGCACCTGTCAGTGGTTACTAAGACCATGAGAAAGCAGGCTCAAGTCCTCCTAACAGAAGCCTGGGTAGAACTGGCTGGGAAGACTGGGAACAGAGAAAGAAGGAATCAGAAGCACCTAGAGTGTGTGCAAATTTTCTTTCAAGTCTTAGGTGTGTTTTTACATTTGTATTTGTAGACGTTATTTTTTAGAATAGTTTTAGATTTACAGAAAAGTTGAGAAGATAGTACAGAGAGTTCCCTTGTATGCCACACCCAGTTTCCCCTATTATTAACATCTTACATTAGTACGGTACATTTGCTACAACTAACAAAGCAATGCTGATACATTATTATTAACTGAGATTCATGATTTAGTTATTTCTTTAGTTTTTACCTAATGTCCTTTTACTTTAGTTTTTCTTTAGTTTTTACCTGATGTCTTTTTACTATTTTCCCTTACTTTTTGCCTAATGTCCTTTTACTATTTCAGTACCCCATCCAGGAAATCACATTACACTTGGTTGTTTTGTCTCCTTAACTGTGACAGTTTCTTAGACTTTCCTTGTTTTTGATGACCTTGACAGTTTTGAGGAGTAGTGGTCAGGTACCTTGTGGGATATCTCTCAGTTTGGGTTTGGCGGATGTTTTTCTCGTGATTAGTCTAAGGTATGGGTTTTTAGGAAGAAGACCATAGAAATGCCGTTTTCATCACATTGTATAAAGTATAGGTACTATCGGCTGTGACTCACCACAGTTGGTATTAACCTTGATGGCTTGGCTGAGGTAGTGTACGTCAGTTTTCTCCACTGTAAAGTTCCTCTCCTCTCCATCCCTCTCCCCCTTTCTATACTGTACTCTGGAAGGATGTCACTACACAAGCTCACAATTAAAAGTGGGAAGTAAAGCTCTTCATCACTGAGGGTATAGTATCTACATAAATTATTTAGAATTTTCTGTACAGATTTGTCTCTCCCCATCCCTGTTCACTTACTTATTTGATCATTTATATCAGTATGGACTCATTGATATTTATTTTATACTTTGGATTACAATTTAATGTTTGGTTTTTTTTTACATGACCTGGTTAATTTATTATTTTTTATTTTATTTTTTATTTTACTTCTCAATATACATCGTAGATGATTTTCATGCCTTTACCCATTCCTCTCCACCCCCCCTACCCCCCATCATATCTGTTCACTTGATTTAAAAACTTCAAGGAATTTTTGTGGTTATTCTGTCTTCTCCCCCCCAACCCTTGATTTGTTTGTGTGTTTGTTTATGTATTTATTTTTAGCTCCCACAAATAAATGAGAACATGTGGTAATTCTCTTTCTGTGCCTGACATGTCTCACTTAATATAATTTTCTCTAAGTCCATCCATGTTGTTACAAATGGTAGTATTTCATTCTTTTTTATAGCAGAGTAGTATTCCATTGTGTAGATATACCACAGTTTCCTTATCCACTCATCTGATGATGGACATTTGGGATGATTCTAACTCTTGGCTATTGTAAATAGAGCTGCAAAAACATGGGAGTGCAGGTATCCCTTCGATCTGATGATTTCCAAACCTCTGGATATATCCCCAGTAGTGGGATAGCTGGATCATATGGTAGTTCTATCTGTAGTTGTTTGAGGAACCTGTTCTCCATTATGGCTGTACTAACTCACAGTCCCACCAACAGTGCAGAAGTGTTCCTCTATATCCACATCATTGCCAGCATTTGTTATTCTCTGTCTTTTTTATAATAGCCAGTCTGATTGGAGTAAGGTGACATCTCAAAATGGTTTTGATTTGAATTTCCCTGATGATTAGTGATGTTGAGCATTTTTTCATATGCCTGCTTGCCATTTGTATGACTATCTTTCAGAAATGCCTATTCAGCTCCTTTACCCATTTTTAAATTGGATTATTTGGGGTTTTTTGCTGTAAAGTTGTTTGAGCTCTCTATATTCTGGATATTAATCCCTTGTTGGATGCATAATTTTCAAATATTTTCTCCCATTCTGTAGATTGTCTTTTCATGCTGTTGATTGTTTCCTTTGCTGTGCAGAAGCTTTCTAGTTTGATATAATTCCTTTTGTTTACTTTTTCTTTTGTTGCCTGTCCTTTCAGAGTGTTATTCATAAGTCTTTGCCCAGTTCTAAATCCTGGAGTGTTTCCCCTATGTTTTCTTCTAGGAGTTTTAAAGTTTCAGGTCTTATATTTAAGTTTTTAATTCATTTTAAGTTGATTTTGGTATATGTGAGAATTATGGGTCAAGTTCCATTCTTCTACATATGGATGTCCAGTTTTCCCAGCACCATTTATTGAAGAGGCAGTCTTTTCCCCAGTGTATGTTCTTGGTGCCCTTTTCAAGGATCAGTTTTCTATAAATACATGGGTAGATTTA